GCGATTTGGATGTAGGTTCAAGTTTCAGAATAACTAGTTTGCAGTGGGAGGATTATTTCCAGTGCATGGAAGTTGCCAGCGTCTTGATCCATCATGCTTGGATGCCGTGAGAGGCAAACGAATATAAAGAAAAGAATGGGAAAAACAAAGTGTTTTTAAAAATAATAAAGAGAAAGTTATAAAGGGTGACAAATGAAAATTTAGGGGTCACAATGGTCTATTTATAATGCTATGCTCATTTTTAAAATTATTGTCAGAGAGCACATGTACTCAATATAGAGAGAGACAGAGAATGAGAAAGAGACCACACCCTTCAGTGGGTATGGTTATGTTATGCTCCTGTCAGTTCTTTTCAATTTCTCCATTCCCTCTGGATTTCAGGCATGCACACACATGCACCCAGCATCTGTCTCAAGCCTCTGGGACCAGGACTCAACCTGCAGTTGACCACGTAGGATCCAACTCCCAGTGCACAGAACGTAACTGCTACTGTACGTGGTTGGCCCTTGCTGTGCAAAGGTTTAGTCTGGCTCCTTACTGCGTTACCTCCAGTTTTTAAAGAAAGACAGATTCCTAACCGGCCAGATTTGCTGACAGCAGCATCTGTATTTATCAATGACCAATTTTCCAACAAACGCTGGTCTGGCTGCATTATGGAGGATATGACACCCTGTAGGAGGCAGGAATATAATATAATATAATATAATATAATATAATATAATATAATTAATATAATATATAATAAAGAGAATCCCCTGACATGATAACACATTGACAGATAGCCAACACGACTGCTATCACCCAAGAACATTCCTGGTATATTCTGAGACCAAAAAGACATGGCAAGGCTTCTGTCCTAGAATGAATCCCTTCTTTACACAGTTTGAAGACAGGGAAGAAGGCAAATTACCTGGGAGAGAAAAATATATATATATTCTGGGAGAGAACCTATGTCAAGTCACATAACCAGTGTCTTCACTGTTGTGGGAATGAGTATTGTTTAAGGACACGGGCACAGTGTCCCTAGAGTAACTTCCACAACCAGGAACCTTTTTTTTCTAATTATTTTATTTAACTTTATTTATTTTTATTTATTTCAACTTGACCAGAGAGGGACAGAGACAGAGAGAGAGGGAGAAAGAGAAGAAAAGGGAGAAAGCAAGCCACCAGGTCCAGAACGTGAGCCACAGTCGGCCATGTGGGAGTCCAACACCCTTAACCACCACACCACCTGCCAACCCCCATGGCCAGGCACCTTCATCACAAATAGAACACTCAGAAGATTTTTGCCTGCACAGGATTTTATATACACACAGACACACACACACACACATACACACATACAAGGTAATATTTACATAATTTAAATTTCACATAAAACATCTATTTCTTGTTTTCATCGAGGTAATAATTAGAATGTAGTAAAACTGAAAAGGTCTCTAACACTGTCATTGTCCTTTGGCCTGCTTCACTCATTTATATCTTCTGGCTTTTTCTGGTTTTTTTTTTTTTTTTTTTGGTGGGGTGAGGAGAATGGAAGAAGTGGGGCCACTACTTCAAGGAAGTATTCCTGCTTTTACTTGTGAAATCAAGCTTAAACTAGAGAGCTCTATGTTGAGGTCAGAGACCCTATTAGAAGGTGCATGGTTTGTAAACATAAAGTAGCTCCCAGCTGTAGTTAGCCAACTGCTGGGTCGTGCCTACCACACGGAGACCTCGGTGTTTCGGGAGACGTGGCTTCTCCCACCAGCTTGGCCCGATTCTCCTCTCTCTTCTCAGTTCCCTGACCCACGTCTAATCTTTGACCTGGTCCTGATCACCCCCTCCTTCGTAGGACTCCTACAACCATGTGGCTCTGAGGCACACAGTTCAGAACTGAGCTTCCCTTTCTGTAATTCCCATTTGTTCAACTCAGTAAAAACCTCTGAACAAGACCCAAATACACAGAAGTAAGGTCTTCTGTTTCACAGGCTCATGATACATGGACCCCGAAAAGTGCAATGTAGACCCCCAGTCCATTGGGGTCCATTGTCACCTGGGCCTAAGACTATGGTATGACGCTCAACAATTTTGGTTATATTAAATGAAGTAGATACAAAAGAAACCACCAGTAACGATTTCTAAAGATTTGTGGGTTTGTTTGTTTTTTTTTTAATTTGGTCATGATGCACCTTTTTATTCTTCAGAATATCTGCATATTTAAGAGGAAGCAGCTGTTTTGCTCCCTTGCTAGCAAGTCTGAGTGAGACTTCAATTCACAACAGGAAAGAAGAAAACACATCACTCGTAATTCTAAGTCTTCAGTCCACAATAAAGCATGATGAACATCTTCAGGTCATAACATTAATCCCTGTTACTTGGAAGGACACTTACATAACTCATCTGTGGTTTTTCCCATTTGGGTTATGAAGTCTCTAACTAGAAGAATTAATTTCTTAACCAGACCATGTAACTTGGCTGCTCTCTTTCATTATCCAAAATTCAAGTTGCGGATATTTTCTGGAATCCTTTTTCATGTTTTATGGATTTTTTAAAAAAATATTTACAGTGTTTTTATGCAAGATGAGGGTCACGAATGGGCCTCTCCGAGTACAGATGGAATTGCTTTCATTCTCAATGCAAGCCCCTTCTGTCTCAGTCAATGGTTGAGAGTATCATACCCAATATTTTTTCTCTGAAAATGGCTGATTTTGATGAAACTCTTGGCCCTGGCTCATTGTATGCTGCTTGGATCATTAGGAAATATCCTTCACTTCTGGAATTCTCTTGTTTTCACAGGTTTATTTGAACACTAAATCAAATTATGTATATCAAATTATTTTTTAATGATATAAAACACTGAGCAAACTGGTCACGTGTTTTTTTGTTTGTTTGGGTTTTTTTTTTTTTTTGGAGAGATTGTCACTATAGGGCGCGTGCGCTCGCCAGACAGACAGAGAGAGACATAGAGACAGAAAGTGAGAAATTAACCCCCAGGGGGGATGGTCACGCTGCAATCCCTTCTCCTCCATTCTCCTCTCGGGATCTTGGGCACACACGCACACGCGCCCGGCGTGAGTTTTAAGCCACCGGGTCCAGGATGGGAACCGCGGTCGACTACGTGGGAGTCCAACGACATAGTCATTACGCTAACTGCTGGTTCCGTGCTCACATGTTACTTATTCACAGGCACGTATGCACATACTTCCAACCAATCATTTTTGGTTTATTGGTGGCAGTGAACAGTTATGAGACCATTTTAAAGTTGTTGGGTTTTATGTTGTTTCCAGCTTCTCAAAGATATTTTCTGGCCAGTACCATTTTGGTAATGGAATCTTGGCAGACAAAGAAAAACTAATCAGAAAGTGATCAGAAAGTGGACATTTTAGTGTTCCAGGAAATAAATGGATTCTAGTAACAAAACCTGGTGTTAGAATAATTTTATTTTTCTTTAGTAATGAGACACTAGTCTGTGGTATGACTCTTTTTTTTTTTTTTTAATATGGGTGTTGTGGGGTTAGTAGGTAGCATGGTGTTTAAGGCTCTGGATCCCACATGGCCAACTGTACAGTTCAAGTGTCTGGTCTGGGGCTTGAAAGTCATGCCAGTCTGTGTATGCATGCCCAAAATCCTGAGAGGAGAATGGAGGAGAAAGGATTGCAGCATGGCCATCCCCCCGGAAGGATGATTTCTCTCTTTCTGTCTCTTCCTCTCTTTCTATCTCTCCATCGAGCGCACGTGCCCTACAGCAAAAATCTCAATTTTAAAAAAAAAGATATCCTGAAACTGCAGTCACCTCTTCTTGAGAAGTAAGAATGAACACAACTTTTCATTGCAAGAGCAGCACTGTCATTTAAAGCCACCATCCAATCCATTTATCATAAACTTTTCAGTGTGACATTAACTAGTGACCGTGGCAGCATGTGGGATGAAGGACAGTTCCAAACGTAGCTTTAACTGGATGGGCAGCATAGGAACATTTTGGGTAGGAGGTTAAGAACCGATTAGGAAACAGGTAGAAGTAGAGGAATGGAGAGAGTGTGCGTAGAGAGCCACGTTGCGGTTCATTTGTGGCCATGGCTGACATCACTAACATCATGGTGACTGGCGTATTGGGGAGGAGACTTTTATAAGTCCAAGTGAACTTAGACTGAGGTAGTTTGGCAGTTGATCTTGGGCGGTTAATGGCTCCAAATTTAGAATCAGACTTTGGAGCTAAAAGGGTTGTAGAGTTACAGGGCATCAACACTTTCACGGTCATCAAACTCTTGAAACTATGTGACAGCCACATGGTGCGACTGGCGTGTGAATTTCTTGTGAATTGTAGCTATTGATATTTAAATACTTGTAATACAAACTCCTCTCATGTGGCCTGGCGTAGGACAAGCATTTAATAATATGCTGCATTAGAATGACTCTTATTTTGATATTGATGTTTCTGTACCTGGTGTTGAATTATAACTCTTTATAAATGGGGCAATGATTTTCTGAACTGCTGATCTGGACAAAGCAATTATGGCATCATAATTTTTTTTGCATATACATAAACAAATGCACCTGTACCTCTTTTTTTTTTTATTAACAAAAAGGAATATAGAAGGAAAACAGAGAGACATATAAGTAGTAAGGAAAAAATATTTTTAAAGTATCTTCTCTTTTAATTTTTCAAAAGCCATCTGTCTAGAAACATGTGTACAGAATACAATGTACAGTACATAGTATTTGACTGAGGTCATAAGCTAACAAGAGAAATTGGTGGGTATGTTTGTTTACTCCATAGAACACTTTGGAGTTGTATTTGTGTATGTTTTCAAGAATCACCCAAATGTTTGAATTGAATATGTGACATTCAACATGGTTACTATATCCATTGCTCATGCGACAACAGATGCATGGTTGACAAGAAGCAGTAGATATCTGCTCTTATTTTTAGCACAACTCTCTATTAGTGATGCATTTCCGAACAGGGAAAAGTAATACTGTTGTTTTCCCCTCCTTTTTTCTATGGCATGTTGAAGCAGACAGTACCACAGGGACACCAGCAATATCGACGACGACAACTGTGGAAATCCGCAAGAGCAGTGTTGTGACAACTGAGATCACCTCTAAAGTGGAGAAGAGCCCCACAACAGCCACGGGCACCAGCTCGTGTCCGTCCACGGAGACTGAGGAAGAAAAGGCGAAGAGGCTTCTTTACTGTTCGCTCTGCAAGGTTGCTGTCAACTCCGCCTCACAGCTGGAGGCGCACAACAGTGGTGAGATGCGAGATTTCTTCTCTGTCTCAACAGCTCTGCAATTGCTGTCCTCTGAATAGATTAGATCTTTTGCAGCAGGGGACAAAGAGGTGGCGGGAAAGTGGCAATTATTACAGGGAACCCATTAACCATTAAAAAATAAGCATGACAAGCAAAATGTCATTTATGTGGGAACAAGGGAGGGTTTCCAGGACTTGCAGGCCAAAGCCTGTGTGTGTATGTGTGCACGTGTGTGCACGGGCACACATGCACACACACACGTGCACACTTATCAGGAGATAAACTATAATTCTGAAATAATGTTTTTCATTTGTATGCTTTCTAGATTGTTAATATACTTCCAGGCATTTGCTTTTAAATGAACTTTTCTAAAATTGTGTCCCTAGTATTGTTGCAAACCACGGTCACATGAGTCCATGGGTTTGGGGACTGTATGATGATTTTCTTTTTATGGCAAATAATGTTATTTGGGCTAGATCTATGTGATCCAGACAGATAAACTTCAGAAAATGTGTTCTGTCAAGCCACCGATGTATGATCTCTATATGTGACATTTTATTCACTCCCAACAACTTAAAGATCTTATTGTTTTCATTTGTTTGAGACGCAGAGAGAGCACAGTGTATGACCAGTTAAGTGACAAAACCATGATTCAAACCCGATCCCTCTGATTTAACAGCAAACTATAATAAGGAGAAGAGAAAATATATTAATTAATGTAATACTGACATGCCAGGACAAAATGCTCTCCTGATATATTTTTATTTCATCCCGCTGTTCTATATGTGCATGTGTGTGTGTGTACTATACATTAAACGTATAGATAATATATACCTAAACCTTTGTATGTGTATCTATATAAGTATAGATACACATATATACACACAAAAATAAAATGTCCCTTTTTCTCTGATGACTGGGTTCATTGCCAAGATCAACTTTTCTCAAAAATGCGGGGTTCATTGCCAGGACTGTATCATCACTATAACAGAAGAGGAATCATTTGTGAATCACACCCTGAGTTCATACTGCAGCTGGGTGTTGAGTCACTCACCCATCATTGCAGCACCAGTAATATTCAAGTATTGACTTCAAGACTCTCAGGAGTAATTGCAGAGGGAGAACAATGCCCCTCACACACATCTTCCTCCTGCACACAACATCAATTGTAGTCAAGGAGAGTTCATGAGTTCACCGACTGAAACCCCAGAAAAGCATCTGTTCCTTCATGAGAATCTATACTATGGAGATATGTCGTGTAGTTACTTATGCGAATGTATTTCTTCCTGTGTGCAAGATACTTGGGGGAGTGTAAACACCATCGGTAGTTCATTTATTTATCAAGAATGACCGATCCTTCCACATCATGATAAGGACACACATTTATTTTTGAGGGATTATCAATTCTTGAAGAATAAATTATGCCCTTTCAGAATGCAGTTTATTTATCAAGAAATCTAAGAGTCCTTCTTGAACTCTTATTAGAAACAAAAGAGTTACCTGTTTAATCATTTCATATCAGGCCAGCACTTTCATATTCTGACTTGACGGTCATCTCTGCTTTGTGTGTCAAAATTACCCACGGAACTTTTTCTTTTATTTAACTTTATTTATTTATCTATTATTATTATTATTAATTTGAGAAAGAGAGAGAGAGAAACAGTGAGAAAGCAAGCTACCAGAAATAGGATATATGGAAAGTTGTTTGTGTGAAAAGCTTGTTTAAGTCAGCCCACTGTGGTCAGTATTCATGGTCTTAATTGTATGAAGGCCTAAAGATTATGTCAGTCCCGTTCAGCATTTTCTAGGATATGGGTTAGACTTTAATTTGAAAATAGAGACACTTCCTTACCATAGTTCTACTGTTTTGCATTCTTTAAACTTTTTGCAAATTACATACCGATATCAAAAAATTCAGCCTTAATCCTTCTCCATGTCCCACAGGTCCATAATAAAGCTGTGTTTTCTAATGCGGTAACCACTAGCCTCCGGCGGCCAGTTAAATTTTAGTTAATTGCCAGATCAGCTTCTCTGTCACAGTGGCCTTACTTCAAATGCTGAAGAGCCACACATGGCTAATGGCGACCAGCTTAGTCATGTACCCATTTAGATAAAGAATACTTCCATCATTCCAGAAGTTGCGATTGGATCATGTACCAGAGTTGTCATTCATAAATAAAATACTTAGGTTATTGTGGTAGTGAGTGATTTAGGGTTATAGCCTAATAAAAGAAATTATTAGACACCTGTGAGCGTTCAGGATTTAGCGATTGCCCAGCTAATGACCTACACTGACGAACAACCAAAACAAGCGACTTCAGAGATGTGTTCAGTCCATTTTTGGCTGTGAAGTTTTACACAGCTGTCCCTGCTCAAAGTGGTTGCATGTGCAACCCAGTGGAATGTTCAAATGATGTTATTTTTTTCTCTCCATGCCTTACATAAAGTCATTGTTGTTTGTAGCACTTATAAAAATTTACCCATGAAAATGTGTTATTACTGAGGGTGTGGGGCTTCACGTTGAGAGTGGGCAGGCTTTTGCATTTTACTCAATACTCCTTCGTGCTCTTTTGAGTTTTCTACCAAGAACAGCTGTTACTTTTACTTAAAATGAAAAAAAAAATGAGGAAATAAAACTAGTTTGCATAAAGAGTACATGAAAACACTGCTTTTATAAATAACTAAAACAGCATTGCATCTCACTTACACTGGAAACATGTGATTGGTTTATTTATTGATCGTTGAGTGTTATATATGTGAAGACGGTTTTTGCTAGGCTCTCTTGGAGAATGGGTGTTAAAGTGGTGTGGCATTTTCTATGCTCTTAAGAACCTTTTTTAAAAATTTTTTAAAGGAGATGAAATAGGTGCATATAAAGACCTTTCAGTGCATGTATCCAGTAACATGTGTTCCCTAAAGTTGGAGCTGCAGTTTTATGGCTGAAAGAGGCTTCCCATGTGTGTGGTGTGTCTCCTCACATGCTGGCATCTCTAGAGTTTCACTCTATGGATTCTACACATGTATTACCCCACCCAACCCAGCTGTGTGCTCTACCCACTGGGTCCCTCTGCCTCCACAGCTCTTCCCTGGGATTTCTCAGGTTACAGCTTGTCTCTCAAACCAGCCCAACTTCATAGCTTTCCCTCAAGGGGCCTTTTCTGATGCTAGATCAAAGATATACCTTCTGCTCTCTTATTTATTTATTATTGTTTATTTATTTATTCCATGAGTGAGGGAGACGAGAGAGAGAGAATGCACCCCTAACAAGGTCTGGATGGCATGATCTACCTCGAGCCCTAAGCCATGGGTTGTGGGCAGGCATGTGCCCAGCATAATCTGGGAAGTCTCTGGACATGAACTAGGAACCTTTCTATTTAGGAATGCCTCCCAGAGCTTCCCATTTTACCTGTGCCATCTCTGGCTTCCTTCCTTCTGTTTTAGTTTTCATATTTTCCTTATGTCTACTTTCTGCATAAGACTTTAGATCCATTACTGAAGAATCAGCAAATTGCTTTCTACCATTAAACTAACAGAAATAGCAATTTACTCATTTGGGGTATTACGTGATAATCTGGTACCCAGGGCACCATTCTGGGTGGTTAATGCTTGCTGGTTTGCTGATAAAGTAAATGGAAGTTTTATTTCTAAGACCCAATGCAAATACAGTTAATGTGAACAATATATACTGTACAGGATGTCAGGGTAATAAAGAGTTAATTTGACATTTACAGATGTTTCAAGAGAATTTTTCTTCCGTAGGATGCACACGCGTTAAGATATAATGCTATAATATTATTGGTTTGTTGGGAAAGTCATGACACATCTTTGCCTAGAAAAATATAGAAAAATGCATTATGACTTTTTTGACAACTTAATACACTGTCATAAGCAAACACATACTAAAAAAAAAAGAAAGTAAAACTTGGCACTCTGCTCTTTGTGTGGACTGACTGCTTTCTTGCCCATTTTTCTTTAAGTTGAATCTTTGAACTCATCAGTGGGAAATTAACTAAATTATTGCTGCAATTTCATAGTTTTGTTAAGGGTTAAGTCAATACTGTTAAATGCTTAATGTGCATTCTGGAACGTGAATGTTTATGGTATTGAAGTTTATTTTAAAGAGGGACAGATTTTGAAGACTTACCTCAAGGTAGACTTCCATATAAAAGAAATGCCACTGGGACTTTCTTTGTAATGTCTTGAAAGTAATTTGGCAGTTTGAATCAAGAGACTTAAAAGTAGTCATATTCTTTGTCCTTGTAATACTGCTTACAAACATCTATCCCAAGGAAACAATCAAATACGTGATAGAAGAGTCAATGAGTAGGATGTTCATTACACCCTAAGTGTGTAGGGGAAGAAAGGACAAAATACAAATGTGTGATACTAGATGAGTGGTTAAATATATCATATCATGCATTTCAATTCTTTGTTGTCACTAAAGAGCATGTGCATTTCTAAAAGTATATAGAATTCCCCTTAGGAAATTTTATCTAGAACCACATTAACCAAGTTATCTCAATTTTTCAAAATGTGCATATACAAATAGAAAATTAAAAAGACAGGTACATGATAATCATTATTAATACTTTGATATACCCCTACTTGGTAGAATGATGTGTTTCTTTTAGTTTTAATTTTTTTTCTCAATTTTCCTAATGACTTAATGAATCATTTTTTTTTAAAGATTATTTGTATTATTATTTCTTTAGTTTGCTGTAGGGTACCTATGCTCATCCGAGAGAAAGAGAGACAAAGAGCGGGAAAGTGACCCCAGAGGATTGGCCACACCATAGTCGCTTCTCCTCCATTCTCTTCTCGGGATTTCAGGCATGGCCACACACACACACACCTGGCGTGTTTTGCCAGTTGCTGGCTCGACAACTTGAATCATGCCGTTGGTCTTGGGGAATCCAAATGCCTCAAGCTCCATAGCCCCTACCCCTGTTGGCCTGAATTATTTCTAGCAAATGACCTTCTTAAGGTTTGAAAGTCATTTACCATTTTCTTGCTTACCTACCTTTCTGTTATGCCAGTACCCACGTTGAGAGCCAGCTCCAGAATGAAGTCATGAAGTTGAGGAGTAAAAAAGGAGGCTAGTTCCTTCCGCCGGATTTTTATTTTTTGACAGATAAAAAAGCAATACGCATCTTGCTACAAAATACCCTAAAATAAATACGCAAAGGGACCAGCAGCTGACGGAATGGCTATATCGCTGGACTCCCATGTAGTCGACCATGGTTCGAGTCCTGGGCCTGGTAGCTTAAACTCACGCCGGGTGCGTGTGTGTGCATGCCCGAGATCCCGAGAGGAGAATGGAGGAGAAGGGATTGCAGCGTGGCCATCCCTGCTGGGGGATGAGTTCTCGTTTTCTGTCTCTTTCTTTTTGGTGAGCACACGCGCTCTAGAGCTAAAACCTCTCAAAATAAATAAAAATTAAAAAATAAAATACGCAAAAAGCAAATAAAGATTTTTTTTAACTGTCTTATGCCTTGTAAAATTTAAACTGTGGTTGGAGAATGAGTTCCCCTTTCCAAAATTGTGATGAAGGTCCTTGTCAGGGTCAGCGAATAACAAAAGAGCTCCTGGCAGATTCCCTCCTCAGAGGAGTGCAAGGGCAGACGAGGACTAGGCCCCTCAGCCAAGCCGTCCCAGAGGAAGCACAAGCTTTGCAAGATGTCTACAGGTTACCTGACGCTGGTACCAGGGCCGCCATCGCTGGCCATCCCATGGCCACAGCTTTTGGTGGCATTGCAATTCGTGGAACTGTGCTAGGCAGAAAAGAACCTAGCACGGAAAAAGAAAAAAAATGAGGGGGGGATTTGGAGGGCTCCAATTAAATCCAAGTTTAGAGAAAAGCCTGGATTCACAAAATAGAAAATTACAAGCGCTGTGAGAGACTGATGAGTAACCGAATCCAGATGGCCTAGAAATCCTTAGTGGACCTTCAGGGACTTGGCTAGAAACGCGCTTCTTACCTGCCAAGGAGTTCAAGCAGTGCTTAGTTTGTTAGCACAGGTAATGAATCCTTTTTGAGTATCAGTGTTTTACCTCTAAAATAAAGAGAATAACGGCACCTCATTCGTAAAGGAGCTACAAGTAGGTAAAGCATCTACCACAGGGTCTCAAATGTGTTAGAGTCAATAAAGGAATGTTTCCCCAAAATCTCGACTTATATTTTTAATGCACATTTGTTTCTCGAAAATGCAAATGCTTTACATTAAGAGTACATCTTACGGAATTTTTGTTGCTTCTAGAGGAAATACGCTAATGTTACAGCTACCCTTGCAAGTTTTAAGATCTTATAGAACTAGCCAAGAGTTGGGCCGGCACGTGGCATGTGGTTAAGGCACACTGGCGCCCACATGACTGAGTCTGTGGTTCAAGTCCTTAGATGCAGCAGTTTGAAAACAATGCTGGGTGTGTGTATGTGTGTGCCCAAAATCCCTAGAAGAGAATAGAAGACAAGGGATTGTGGCGTGGCCATGCCGCCTGGGGAGTGATTTCTCACTTTCTCTTCCCTTTGTCTGTCTCTGTCTCTCTCTCTGGCAAGCACACGTACCCAATTGCAAAAATCAAACAAAAGAAAACTATTCAGTAGTTCTTTTATTGTGGCTGGCAGTCTGTCATGAAATGCAGAGGTTATGGTGTACAAAAGTTCTGCTCTATTTGCTGATGACTAGTAGCACCGGAGGCCAAACTGTTGATGGAAGTCCCTTACTCTCCCAGTCTCGCCCCATTTTTAACCATGTGTGTGTGTGGGGGGGGGGAGGGGGGTTACATGGGTCGATATACATAGTTTTCCAGCACCTGTGAAGAGACTACACTGAAATAACGATTCTAACAGCCCAACGATTCTCTGAGAGCATGGGTGTTGGTCAAATATTTACATCCGTCTCATTTCTCGTCATCTAGAAACGTGATAGAGGTGGATCTTAGCTTGCCAAAGATATTCTTGGAAACACTTGATTTCCTGGATCTTTGCCTGCTGTTGCTCCTTTGGGGTCACATACTTTAAATTTCCCCTCATTGCCTTCACTCACCTGACACTCAGTGCTGAGGCAAGCCAGCCATATCTGGCTCTGTTTTTCCTCTTCCCAGTCGAGATAAGTTATTTCACTGTTGTTGAGTAGGTGTAAAACCATGTGCTGACCTTTTCCAGGTTCACCTACCAAACACCTGCTCCCAGTGACGAAAGATACTGAACCAAAAGTGAGGCCAGAGTCTCTCAAGAGAGTCAGCAAAAGAGTTGATCTCCTGCTGAGTTCTTAGGCATCCATAAACCAAACTAAGCCTGTAGGTGCTTCTCAACTTGATCTACAAGCTACATGAAATTATTGTACATGCTGAAATTATGTGCTGGGACAAAGATGTTTGAGCAACCTACACAGTTCATGTCTTACTCTCTAGGACATTTTTTGCTCGACTGTCACATGTGACTTAATGCCACCTTTAGGCCAAGTAATGCGTAAGCATTTGTGCTATGACGGGGCAGGGGGAGTAGGTGGAAATAAACCCTGGTGAGGCGTGACCACTGCCTCCATGGAGTGGACCTGTGGTCCGTAGTTCTTCCAATCTTCCCACCATGTTGACTTCTTTTTCCTTTCCATATTATTAACATATTAATATGTTGAGACAAGGAACATTTTAGTAACCACGAATAAGAACATACTATTTAAAATGGACAGTCGAGTTGTCAGAATGTAGACATTTGTATGCATATTGGACTCAGGAATGCTCAATTTAACTAAGGGAACTGTGGCCATGACCTGCCCTGGCCTGGAGCGCCCCTAGTATGTTTTCCTCATTGATATTCGATGTGTTTGAGAGACGGGCTTATGACTCAGAACTTAGAATCTTTTTGTTTCTCTTGCAGAAATGACCAACCATCTAATAAACACAATCAGGAAGGAGTAACTACTAAAAGAGGGGTTTAAAACATCAGAATGGCAGAAAGTACACAATTACAAAAGAACATTTCATAGCAGAAAGGCATGAATGACTAAGTGAGAAAAATAAATACTTACCAATTCTAAGAAAAAGGACATTTCAAGCAGCATTTCAAGAGAAAATGCCACTGTGGTGTAACAGTATGCAACTACAGCAATCTCAAAAAATTTTTAAAAAATAAACACACACACATGCACAGAGGTTGCATTTGATAAGTAGGTGTGACAGACCAAAATTGTTCTTTATTTATTAACAAGAAACATTTATATTTATAGTACATCTGTTTCAGTTTGAGTCTACCATGCATCTTGGTCATTTGTTTTCATTTGAATTTACATAGTTAATCGCTGTGGGATTTACTAGACTAAAATGGCTGCTTTTCCCCCAGAATTATTTAGATCTTTATACCATCACCCTTCCTCTTTAACCTAAAACCCATAGCCAAGATAACTTGTGTGTATTGTTTATAAAGTGGGTGTTTAATTAGTGCCAATTCTGTAAACACACCGTGTTTACACTGATTGCATTTGTTACCCCTCAGCTCCGACTGTACCTTGAGCAACTAAATCACTCTTCCTCATCAGCTATCATTTGTGTCTTATTAGCAGCAAGAGGAGATTAAATGAAGTCACACCCATTTAATTTTGCCTCAGGACTTTCAAGTTTAGTGACTGTATTGATGGTGCTTGTTTGTACTGTGGTGCATTAGGGGAGAAAAAAACAATTTAATAATGTTGTAGAAGATGATTAGAGCATGTCATTAGTCAACTACGTCATGAGTGTACTTTGGCTATAATCCTTGGAAGAATGACACTAAAACGAGGAGTCACATTTTATTACTGTCTTGTTTCTTGAAGGTATGTACTAACTAAGGTTGTTTCTCCTCTCCTCGTTCTTTCCCGCCTTCCCTTTTTTCTAAATATTCCTGGCAGGTACTAAGCACAAAACCATGCTAGAAGCTCGGAATGGAAGTGGGACGATCAAAGCCTTTCCTAGGGCAGGAGTGAAAGGCAAAGGACCGGTCAATAAGGGAAACACAGGCCTCCAAAACAAGACATTTCACTGTGAGATCTGTGACGTGCACGTCAACTCGGAAACACAGCTGAAGCAGGTAGGCAGCACCTGCCTGTCCAGGAGCAAGAGCACTGACCTCTGTGTGAGCCGGGTGTTCATGGTGCCATCTTCCTTTCCATTTCTGCCTTCTTGCCCCATGCATCCACCCACATCTCTTCCATTCACTGTCCTTATGTATTCGGGCTTATTATAGTCACCTGAGGAAATTCTAAAAACGTGGTGGCTTCTAGGCTCTTTCTGAAATGGTTGGCGGTGGGTGTGTCCTGTTCTTGCATGTGAAGAGTGGGAGGGAAAGAAGTATAAGATCTTCCCTCTACCGGGTTTTCAACGTGCTGATTTTCTTTGAAGGTCAACTTGAGATGTTCCATTTTTACTTGTGTACACGTATACATACTACAACGAAGTGTACACCGTCCTGTTCTTGTATTGTATATACTTATTACATGGTGATGTATTGTACTTCTAAATCTTGCCACCACCTGCTAAGGGGTGACTAATCATGTTGCCTTCATTTCTACTCTGAAAAGTCTCCCCCCCCCAAAAAAAAAAGGTCTTCCCAAGAGATCGGTTTCACATTGCCAGCTGAAGGCCCAGCCCTCATACGGTGGTGTCGTGTTTTTATGTATATGTGTGCTAATTCGACTGATTTTATGCACCTTAGTTGTTTATCATTAGAATTTAAGGGTTTGGCACTTGGCTATACAAATGTGAGGATAAACATTAGTATGGAAAGACATTCGTTCCTGCCTGGTCATCTTTGCTTATTTGCACATCGAATTCCTTCAGATATTCCTTTCTTTTGTAAACATGAAAAAAAAAATGAAGGGGTTATGTGCAATGATGAGGAGAAAACTAGGGGGAAAACGAAGATCTTTCTGCTTTTAAAAACTACAATGAAACGAATAGCATGCGATAGGTATCTTCAAGGCATCCGAATCCAAGGAGGAAAGTGCGTGCTCTTTTGTTTCTTCTTTCTGAAACTTCATGGAATAACGAATATCCTTCCTCAGGTTGAAGCAGTACTGGCGGAAGTTTTCCTGACAGACTTGTTAAGAACTGCCTTTGTTCCTTCCTTCCAATAGCACATTAGCAGTAGAAGGCACAAAGACAGAGCTGCTGGAAAGCCCCCCAAACCCAAATACAGTCCTTACAACAAACTGCAGAAGGCAGCGCATCCACTGGGGGTGAGTGCCCGTTTTGCTTTCCAAAGGACAGGGTCCTGTCTTTAATACCCCAATCTGCTCAGCTCGGATTTCCCTTGCTATTTGCCAGGTACTAAATGGATTGAACAACATGTGTCGAAGTGACAAAGGGTTGATTTAAAAGTCCAGGGTCTTCTCTACTCAAGGAATTATTGGTTTCATGATTTAGTTCAGTGTTTTGTCAGCTATCGCCCTAATCCTTTACCTTGTTGACTGGAGCTTAGGTTTATCACAGAGTGTCCAGAAGAGGGAAAAGCCAGACTCTCTTGGGTCAAGTAAACAATCCCGTGAAATCTCTTCTTGTTGGTGGATACTTTTAGGAAAAAAGGTCAATGAGAAACAATTTACTGTGTCTTTGTAAAATATCTTCAAGAGACAAAGCAGAAGGCATTGATAACCCTCAACAATTTTGGATTTTGACTTAATGTATGGCTTATATTATTTAATTATTCATCTAAAGACACTGTGTAAGGTCTGGGGAATTATATCCTTTGGAAATACCTTTTCCTCATCACTTTTGATGGTCTTTTCAGATTAGTAAGCATACTGGTGTGATGTCTTGACCTAGGTGTTTTTGTTAGGACTTTCAGGGAAATCCTTGAAAACTGCTAACAGTATAGGCTAATATTGATGAGCAATGTGCCCTTTTTCTGGTTGACATGACCAGAGTTTTCATCAACGAGACTCAGGGCTCAATGAACAGTTAGAACAACTGGTGTGAAGCATATGCTGAATTGTGCATTTTGAAACATTTTCTTGGAAATCGATTGTATTAATAACTGATGCTATTGTATGTTGCTGACACACGAAATAATAGCTCATGGAAAGCTGTAATCATCTGTTATGAAGCCCCAGTAAGGACTGACCCAATTAATTTAGGAGCATCATTTTTTTCTTCCTTCCCAAATGAAATAATTTCATTCTTTTGTTAGTTGCATTGGGAGGCTGTGAATTCTGTGAGGCCTGGTGTTTCGGCTACACCAGTCATAACCTATGCTGCTCCCTGGCCACCATAGTTGCAGCCTTTGGCAATCGACTGAGGGGGGTTAAAATAAACAGAATAGTCAGAATCGTGTGACTATTAGTATCTAAACTCTCCTTTTTAACTGTCACCCTGTTGTTCTTTCCACAAATGGGAACCTTCTTTCCACAAGAACAGGTATCTTACTCTTCTTACTAGCCAGATAATGAACTGGCTTTTTAGGGTAAGGTTAAGAAAAGGTGTTTGCCATTTGCACAAAGAAAGAAAAGGACAAAACATGCCAAAATGTGGGAGAAGTAAGTTTTCTTTGATTTTTTTTTAGTGGAATTTTGCTAGTTTTATTTCCCTTAAAGAGTGCCTCACATCATTGGAAAGGGCATTCGCTGTTCACCCGGATTCCATACCGGGAGTCTGATAGCAGCTGGTAACATTAATGCTTCTGTCTTTTCAAATGTCTGCTCCTTGATAATCAGTGCATGTGTGAAGGCTGGCTTAAGAATTACCTGTCTTTTTCTCAATGAATACTTTTCTCTGGAAGTGTCATTTTCAACAACAACAACAAAGTTGCTGAGTAATTTTCTGGAGGATTATTTAACATTCCTGGTCAGCCATTGTCAAGTATCTTCCACTTCTAACCAAAGGGAAAATGCTGTACGCTTTCCATTTTCTTTGTTATCAGTTCACAGTGTAAGTTTACCTTTGTAGTTGCTCGCCGCTCTTTTGTTTTCAAAAAAATATTTAATTTAACTTGATTTATTTTTTCATTTTATTTGACCAGAGAGGGACAGAGTGAGAGAGAGAAAGGAAAAGTGAGGAAACAAGCCACCAGGTCCAGGACTCAAACCTCAGTAGACCATGTGGTCGTCAAGCTTCCTTAACCACCAGGCTACTTGCTGGCCCTTAGTGCTATATTTTAAAAGCTTCCTGCATTTGGGATTACCATTTGGGATTCTAAAAACAGACTCCAAAATTTTATTCTTCTGCTCCTTTTTCCCCCTCTCTTTCTTGCAGGTAAAATTAGTATTTTCGAAAGAACCTTCCAAACAAGGCCATGGGCTCCACGAATTCTCCCGACCCCACTGGCAGCTGCGGCAGCAGCTGCGGCCGTGGCAGTGAACTCCCCCTTCAGTCTTCGAACTGCTCCTGCAGCAACCCTGTTCCAGACTTCTGCACTTCCTCCAGCACTCCTGCGGCCAGCTCCTGGACCCATTCGGACCGCCCACACTCCTGTGCTGTTTGCTCCTTACTGAATTCCAAATGGGAGTCCTTGTACTGCAATAATTTTTCAAACAAAAACAAAACATGAGAACTATGCAGTGTTTATTTATAGTTTAAAGTATATCTGAAGAGCCAGGACTTTTGATAGTGAATGGAAAAGATTATAAAAAGGGTGGGAGTTTGGGCGGGTGGGAGGGAGGGAGTGATATTTTCTCCAAATTAAAGCATTCCTCTTGAACACCGATTGTTTTAGAAGTGATCGCCAACGTTGACTTGTAGTGGTATCTAGAATTTCTGAAGCCTTTGTGACTGTGCTTTTGGGCACCTCCTTTCCCTCTGCATTGTCTTTCCTGCTTTATGAAACAACTATACATTGTCTAAGGGCATTAACTGGTTCCAATGTATATATAATAATTTACTCTATAGATTAAAATAATATGAAAAAAGGAAAAAAAAAAAAACCACAAAAACAAAAGCAACACTGTGAATAGTAGTACCCGTGCTGGTCTTCTTGCTACGACAGCAGTTACTGGGGCTTTATCCCGACAGAAGTAGATACAGTAGATGTCTCGTAAAACAATAGTGCTGTGTCTCAATCTATGCCACTAGGTTTTAAAGAACTGCAAAAGGTAGAACGAACAACTATTTCATACCAGTAAGCAGTCAGAAAAGAAGGGAACACAGCTGGCACGCCACAGAGGTCTCCCTGGTCAGCATTCTCCCCACCTGTTTAGGACACAGGTAAGCATTGAGGTAGGGGAGACATTAATTGAGGTGACTTATTACCAAATACCAATTCCCCCCTGAAGAACTATTGCTGGAAATAGGGAAATGTATGTAATAAACCAATCTCTGAAAACAAATCAACCCAGGCACCATGGGTAGTGAGGGAGAAATCAGTACCGTTACTCTGTTTCAAGGGTGAGGAGCTCTCCTACCCCAGGATGATAATGCAAAGTAAAGACCTTTCATGTTAGCGCTTATCCAGTAAAAATGAGAGTATTGCAGCTCTGCAAATCCCTTTTATATCATACCAGTACGGTTGTCTCTTAGGCAAAGGTTTCTGCTCTAAGTATGAAGGTAGAATTAAGCAGTAGCTGTCACTATGGATTTACACCGTTTGTTTTATAGGTTTCCTACTGACATGATATAAACAATGAATATATATTTAAATGTTAGTAACAGCAAGAAAAGCGAAACTGAGTTCATTGCACACCAATGACACAGTGTTAATACAAAAATACTGGTAAGGTCCACTTGACCATCATTTCTCCAGTGGAGTTGTGAAATACTGGCAGCCTTTGATAGTCACCAGAAGGCTAAGAGGAGTTGATGTTTTACCTTTAAAACAAGATTTATCAGGGGTATATATAAATATTTGTATATTGTATATATGTTAGAAAGATTAAGAGAATAACTTATAAAAAGAAAATCTATATAAAATAATTCTATAACCACCCAGTGTTCCATGTTATCATTGATTGGTAACAAATGACATAAGATAGCTGTGCCTTTAATTTGTGATAAAGGCTATTCGCTTTTTCCCATAGAAAGCCAACAGATACCTATCAATATGGTGGGGTTTGACTCAGCCGCTTACTTTAATAAGAACCAGGACATTCGAAACAGTGGCAGAACGTGTACGAAGCAACCCTACCTGATTTAGCACTAGAGAAGAAATTATTTTTGGAAAGGTTTTGTAAAGACTATTTAAAATTCTAAGGAAGGGCTGGGTGTGGCCTCCCTGATACCCTCTTATCTGAACGATAGTAACCTTTATCTTATCTGAACGATAGTAACCTTTAGAGAGGAAGAAAGAAGAAAGCCGAACCATTGGAGAGATAGGTATTTAGCGTTTTTCATTTTATATTTAACAAACACCCATAGCGTGCTTGGTGCTCAACCTTAAACATGGTCTTTGGAGTTCTTCTGACCCATCTAGCTGTAGAAATGTGTCATATAAATGTATCTTGAAAGTGGATGGCTTTATATGTCTTTTGTTAAATGATCAAAGTAAAACAGAAAAGGAAGGAAGGAGAGAGGAGGAAAAGAAAAAGAAATTGTGTTCCATCCAACTTCGGGTAAAAAGAATTTTAAACCACGCCTCTCTGGTTAACCATCTTGTGAGCATTAAAATCTGTTTTGGAATGAATCCGCTGATTTTGCATTTAGCAATATCTCTACCCTCTGGTTTTAGCCAGTGTTTTCTTTTTTCGCCTCCAGACCCTCAGTAAGTGGACAGTTACACGTAAGCTTCGTGTTCAGGGCTCTATCTCTAGCTCCCGTGAGCAGCGTCTAAGCATTTCGAACATTAGTTCTTTTTCTGCTGTCAAATATTTGGATCCTTCAGTAGAATTCTCCTGGATCTTTATCCCACACCCTTCGCATCTGATAGGGCCTCTGTTTCTGCTGGTGAATGTAGTGTTAATTGGTGCCATTCCACTAGAATGTGCTTTTGCTGTTCTTTCCCATTTCCACCAAAGTGAATGAGCCAGGCCACAGGACACCAGGGCCCGTGGGAAGCACAGCGTCCTGGGTTCCAAGGTGTTACTAACTCCAACGATTTGCTGGGAACAAAGCAGCCATATTTTCTCCATCAGCCATATGAGAAAACTCAGAAATACCTGGACCCCCTTCTGCCTCACTTCGCTATGGAACCATTTTTGTTTAAACGGTCTTTTAAATTGGAGTTGTAAGCATCAGTTGTCTTTTACTCACTACCTAATAAAGGATGAAGCCTAACCATAGAACTTAGTGGATTCTCTGTGAATTGTTTTCCCCCACTCCCTGGATTTATCAACATCCTAACCTCTGTTGCGGCTCCAGATGCTCTGCAGCTCTATTCTTTCCCTGAGGGAAACTTTTTCATGAATAAAGTTCAACAATACAGATTGGTCGGGCGGCTTGGGTGCTGTGAAAATCCCTAAGGGCGGTCTGACTTAGGGTGTTACACACTTTCTAATGCATCACACCCAAGCCAAGGAAAGGAATAGAGAAAGCACCTCTGAGTCCATTTGAAACAAATATAAATGCATTGCAAGAGCCAAATACCTCCGGAGAAAGCATTGTTGCCCCTCATCCAGATCATCAAAATGGGAGGCAGTCCTTTGGGAGATACTGTATTTCTCTGGAGAAAACAGGCGATTGCGTGTGACAAATGGCTCTTCTCACTGGTCCTAAACTTTGAAGAGCAGTTGCTTTATCCACATAAACACAGTTGGCTTTGGGCAGTTTATAGCACCACTGCCTCATCTGAAAGAATCACTATCTTTGGGGACTATTGGGTTTCCCTTCGTCTTTTGCAATAATCTACTTGTTTTCATCTAAGATATAATTTGGTTTTTTGAAAGGTGTTAAATACTTTGTTGCCAAGGAAGTGTTTAGCAAAAATGTTTTTACTTGTTTCGAATGTAAAAGAACAGGAAAGAATAAAGCATTAAGAATGAAAGAATGAAATTTTAAAAATAAGATCAATGTATATTGTGAATATACCCATATGAGTTTCTTTCTTTTTTTTTTTTTTTTGGATAGGTTTTTGCTATAGGACGGCGTCGGTCTTTGCTATAGGACGCGTGCGCTCGCCACAAAGACAGAGAGAGACAGAGAGACAGAAAGCGAGAAATCACCCACCAGGGGACATAGCCACACCGCAATCCCTTCTCCTCCATTCTCCTCTTGGGATCTTGGGCACGCACGCACCCGGCGTGAGTTTAAGCCACCAGGTTCGGGACGTGAACCTCAGTCGACTACATGGGAGTCCAGCGACATAGCCATTACTGTAACTGCTGATCCCAATATTCCCTTATGAGTTTCTGAAGCACAAAGCCAATACATAGCAGACAGGCATTAAATTGCACTTGACTTCAGGACCAGCAGATAGCATAATGGTGATGTTGCTGGACTCCCACGTAATCAACCACAGTTTGAGTCCCAGACCCGGCGACTTAAAACTCAATGTGGTGTGTGTGCGTGCCCAAAATCCCGAGAGGGGAGTGGAGGAGGAGGGATTGCAGTGTGGCCATCCCCCTGGGAGGTGATTTCTCATTTTTTGTCTCTTTGTCTCTCCGTAGAGCGCCCTATAACAAAAATCTCTCTAAAAAAATTTGCTTTAACTCATAATTGATTTTAAATTCATATCTGTGTCTCTGTGCATGCTTCAGCATTTCTGAAGAAATTAGATACCATGACTCAAGTGGTCTAGAACTCTCTCCCCTTAAATCTGACTTGTGTATAGAATTACCTTTCTGTGATTGTATACAAGAAAGTATCGTGAAGTCGTGTGGAGGCAATGAACCTGAAAGAAGTTAGACACTTGGTAGGTTTGCCTTCACTAGCAGGCAACTTTAAATAGTCAACTAGCTTTGTTGTTCGTTTCTTCATCAGTAAAAGGGTTGAGGATGATTGAAGGCCGGGTTGGGTTAGTAGGTCAGCACTAAAGAACCACTTCTCTCATCCTTTCAGGAATAAAACTGCCTTTTCCTAGTACAGAAAATAGCTACTTAAGTACCTGCCTGTGTCCAGAAAAACGTTCTGTATTCCTTTCCATTCTGAGTATGCACCCCCCAGTAAACCACTCATCCGCCCCATCAGAACGTAGAAAATACCAAATAACCCTGAGTCGCTGACTCACTCATTATTCAAATATGATTATTAGGTTATGCCCAAGTTATGGGAAAAAAAGCTGCCTCTCTTTCACAGTCTAGAGCATATTAGATTATGACCAAAACCAACTCCCATAAGAGCAATAGAAAACTGACAGAGTGGGCGTGAAAGTGAGCAACACAGATCCACGCATTTTAACCTTACTCCTTTTGTTCTTCTTCTCTTTGGTAGAAAAAGGCCCAGTCTGAGCCATCCCTAGTTCTTCCCTCCGTTTGCATGTGTTTGAACGAATGGCCACCTTATTAAGACCCTCTTTTCATAGCCTAGGATATCAATTATGAGTGCTTATTGTTGCTACAAGAATGATGTGAACTGAGTCCTGGTCGCGACTCTTTCACCTAAGGATGGCTGTTGCTTTCTGTTGAAAAGGAAAATTTATTTCTGAAGCATCTCATCTGGTCTTTGTGCGGTATGCTTCAGGAAACAGAGAAGCTACTACTGAGAAGCAAAACAGATTATTTAGAGAGTCTGCTTCCATTGCCTACTTACCAGTTCTGAGACAGGTATCGGAGTTCCCAGT